GCTTAGGGCCTTGCTAAATTGCTGAGGCTGGCTTTGAACTTGCAGTCCTCCCGTGGTCAGCCTCCCAAACCGCTGGAATTATAGGCATGTACCACTGCACCCAGCCACTGGTCTCTCTTATTTTAAAATAATACTTATTTCCAAGGGAAAGCACTGCTTTTTGTACCTCCATGTTTCTTTCTTTGGTGTTTATTTTCTAAGGGAAGAGTTTGATCTAACTGGACTATTTGCAGATGATCTTAAATCTGAGCAACTTTATCAAATTTTAAACTATCATCAGAGTTGGCCTACATTCGAAAGTCTGTTACCTCAAGTATTACTCCCTCCCTGGATTGTACACTCAACTAACAGGGTATTTGTTGGGTACCAACTTGGAGTAGACCTTTCTGACAGGTTTATTAGAGGACATAAAAGGAATACAAGATATGAACCTTGCCCCCTGTAATTTAATACTATAAAAAAGTGTGGACTCTGGGTCATACTGCTAAGCTTCTTATTCCAGATCCCTTACTTCTACCTATATGATTTTGAAAAGATATTTAACCTTTCTCTGTCCCATTTTCTTAATCTGAAAAAAAGGTTAATAAGGATACTTATAAAGTTGTGTGATGCATTAATGATATTAACATGCATGATTATTGTTCCTGGTATTGTAGAAAGCACTACATACCATAAAAATGATCACTACAGCAATCATAAATAAAATACTCAAATCAGAACTAAGGTATCACATAATTAAATTCCACAATGAGGGTTGAAAATAAATCTAGGCTGTTCATAAATTGACTGTCTTTTCCATATGCCATCCTGCCTCCTTAAATATCAAAGTCCCAGGCTGTTTACAGTCTTTGTTCAGAAATGAGAAAAGATACAAACCTGTAAAAATCCTGAACTGTTTAAGGAAATTTGGTTAAAACTTCCAGGTAGGTCTTCCTCTCCCCAATTCAGGATGTTCCTTCCCATACTCAAGCCTGTCTGCATCTGTTCACTTTGTGTTCTGTATTACACAAAGTGAACAGAATGAATGTTTGGCAGTTGCAGACTTGAGTGAATAGCATTCTCATTTATCCTTTAAGGATGCTAAGATCCAATGAGTCAGTTTGTACCTTAGTATTGCAATCAGATTCTTTTTCATTGATTATTTGGCCAAAAGTCAGAGTTGATGAAAAAACAAACAAAAAAGTGGAAATTTGTTGTTTAGAACAGAGGTGAGTAATTTTGAACAGAGTATTTTATTTGCTCAGTAGAGATTTTTCAGTGGGTGTCAGGCAGCATGACATCATTGGGGATGGGAGGAAGGGACAAAGAGACAAATGATAGAATGTCAGAATTATTTCTTTTCTTCTTAAGTGTTGTCTATTTTAATTTATTCCTATTATTATAGTTGAAGCAAAGTTTTTCCGGCTCAAGCTAGGAAGCTAACTTGGATTCCAAATGATAAAAAGCATAAAAGTCCCTTAAATTTTTTTGGAATGTACCTCCTTTGTAAATGATGCAAAAAGTAATAACTTTGTAAATTCAGAAGAGATTTTTTTCCCTTGAGGGCTGTATTATGGGAGTAGTCAGGGAAAAAAATAGGACTTGAATTGGATGATTGTTCTTAATATGAATAGTAGGAAAGTGAAGAGATTAAAGGGGTGGAGCTGAGGACAAGTATGATGTCTGAAAAAAAGTAGAAAGTAGTGGAAAGTGAGATTGACCTAGTAGTATTTCAACCTTGTGACTGAAAAATCAGAATTTTTTCTTTAGAATTAGTTGTTTTACTGCTTACTATTTTACACTATAAGTTTAATTCCAAATTATCCTCCTTTTTCAGTGTAAGCTAATTTTATGTCATGCTTTAAGAAATAGACTAAATGGAATTGTTGTTTATAGAATCCGAGGTTTTAAATTTGTCTTTCTACTCTGAAAAATTTAATTTTTTTTTTATACTAGGGATTGAACTCAGGCTGGGGATGTGGCTCAAGCGGTAGCACGCTCGCCTGGCATGCGTGCGGCCCGGGTTCGATCCTCAGCACCACATACAAACAAAGATGTTGTGTCCGCCGAAAACTAAAAAAAAATAAATAAATAAATATTTAAAAAAAAAAAAAGGGATTGAACTCAGGGACTGTTTCCTACTGAGCTAGACTTACACCCCAGCCATTTTTTTTTTTTAAGTCTCTCAGATCTGAAATTTGTATTTCAAAGATGAGCTAGGCAGGACCCATTTCAAAGCCTGATTTGCTATTGATTCAAATGGGTGTTCTCAAACTACATACAACAGAATGTCAGTCTCCCAAAGATAGGGGACAAACCCAATAGGACAGCTTTGGGGTCTAATCTATAAATATAAAAATTAACACAAAATTTCTATATTTAGATTTTAACAACTTCCGTTTAACATCTTTTCTGTGCATTGGGTGTTATTTTGAAGTACTTTATAAAATTTTCATCATTAAAACACTGTGAAGTAGGTATTTACCCCATATTACAAATGGGAAAAAATAGGCTCAAAGTTACTATTTCTATAGAGCTAGGGAAATGGGAAGCCCTACACCAGGGTATGCATCTGAAATACATTACCCCAAATATTTTAATGTTCTAAGTCACCTAACACCTGAAAACAACTTTTCATTTTATGATCAGTGAGAATCTTGCCAGGTAAGGTAGTGCACACCTGTAATCCCAGCCACTCACAAAACTGAGGCAGGATTGCAAGTTTAAGACCAACCTCAGCAATTTAGCAAGACCCTAAGGACATAATGAGACCCTGTCTCTAAACAAAACAAAAATGGGCTAGGGACATGACTCATTGGTTAAGTGACCCTGGGTTCAATCCTTTACAGAAAAGAAAAAAAAAAAAAAAACCTTAGCTAATCAAAATAGTCAAACCGTCAACAAAGACTTCTGTAGATATCTAGTCTATAGATGATCAACTTTCACTAATAACTTATATCAATTTGCAAGTTAACTGCTGCCTCCTCAATAAGCATTCCTAAAATAAATGCTATCCCCTCTAAAATACAAATCCTAGTGAAATTTAGATTAGTCAGGGAATATCACAGCCATCTTAAATACTTCTTAGGCTAGTTATCAGGAATTCTAAATTTAAGATCCGAGATTTCAGATATAATTCAAAATCTACTCGGGTATTCTACCTTGAACTTAATAAAAAACTAATTTTTTTTTGTTAATTTTTTAAAAAAATTAAATGTTTACATATTAGAATTTACCATCCTAGCTACATAAAGTTTCCTAAGGCCAGAGCAGGTGGGGGACAAGTTACCTAATAAATGAATATAACTATCAAGCACACAGCATAATCTTTCTTTGAAAGTTCATGAACTTCTTAAAGTGTATTAAATTCCAGATCTGAATTTCAAAATTTAAAACATTTTACCTCACTCGACTGTATCTAAGAACTATTGGGCATAAATTTTTTTAAAGGGAAAACTAATTCAGCGTATTAAGACAAAGACAATAGAAATAATATACATGATTTTACTACAATTTTTTTTAGGTGTAGTTGGACACAATGCCTTTATTTTATTTACTTATTTTTTTATGTGGTGCTGAGGATGGAACCCAGGGCCTCGCACATGCTAGGAGAGCACTCTACCACTGAACCACAGCCCCAGCCCCTCAATTAAAAAAAAAAAAAAAAAAAAAACAACCAAAATGCAATATCCTAAAAACCCCCAAATTTACTAATTCCTACCAGTTTGCTGTGCTACCATACACAAGAAATTAAAGAAACCATTAAATATTTAGGAACATTCAACATCAGAAGCTTCAAAATATAACTGTATGTAGTAGCCCTTCAAAAAGCTACAATCTAAATTTTTAAAAATGTATTTCCTCTACAAAGAATCTTAGCCACTATACAAAAATCTGTATACAGTTTTTATACTGAAGCTAATATTGAGCTGCACTTGAATTCACATTCTTAGCAAACAGTTGCCTGAACACACACACACACTCCACACACATCATTACCGGGGACAGCCACTAATTCTTCATCCTCTCCTCTTCCTCATCATTCTTCCTCCTCCTCTTCTTCCTCCTCTTCCTCTTCATCTTGTGGTTAGGGTTTTGCTAAGTTGCCCAGGCTGTCCTTGAATTTGAGATTCTTCTGCCTCAGCCTCCTGAGTTGCTGAGATTATAGGTGTGTGCTACCATGTGCTGCTGGAAATCATTTTAGATGACAAGTTCTTTAAGCAATATGTGATACCTTAATCTAGCTCTGTTAAGCATTGTAACAATGAATTCTGTAGGCCTCCAGTTTTGAAGGCAAAGAAAACCTTCAAAGTACTCTATTATGAAGGCCTGAGATGAACCCGGTTCTTTAATTCCTTCCTACTTTTTCAGTTTGTTTTATAGATGTACATGGTAATGTTTTCTCCCGTTTGTGATATGTATGGAAATTAATGGAGAAAATAGGAGAAACTTCACTGAAAATTTTGCAGAAGCACATTCTATACAGCAAGAGCCAATTGTATTTAAATTTCCAATGTATTTTCCAGAGGCATCTATGAAGTATGGGTGTGGGTGTGGGTGTGGGTGTGTGTGTGGTAAGAGATTCAGAAAGACTACCATATGCCACAATTTTTAGTTATTTAGAGGCATTTTTTTTTCTTTGAGTCATGTCTGTTGGAAATATAAAGTGCAAATGAATATTTACAAATCAAAATTTAAAAAAGAAACTCTTATCTATATCTGATATAAATAATAAGCCCCAATATAAATCCTTATAAGACATGTGAAACTTGAAAACCCATTGTTTCTGTTCCAGTGGCTGCTACTTCCAGTTGAATTTCTCTTTAATATTGTGATTTATCTTGTCTTACATAAAAGTTTTTTTAAAATATAGTATGTTTATACTCAAGTTGAACAGTATCTCCAGATTAATAATTCCAAAAATTCTTAAAAGAGGTTTGTGCAGATATATATATTTTTTAATTTCTAAATTCACCATTTTGATACAAATACCCATGGTTTTCTTCTGTGTTTACATGCAGCCAGGAGCTATGGGCGGAGACGAGGTAAAAAAAAATTTTTAATGAGATCTTTTGCTTGCCAAATTGTGAGTAAATATGAGTGTGTGTGTATTTAATTCCTGTGTGTATAAAACAAAAATTGTTATATGGTGTGATGTTTTAACTTAATTATTTTAGCAAAGTAATTAATTTATTACTTTCATTACAATGACTTTTACTGTTTTTTGGTAATTTGTTCTTTTAAGCCTAATAAAGGTATGGAGAAGATTTTTTCTACCTGGAAATTTTGTTTTCTGGCTTATTGTGAATAAATGTGAGGAAATAAAAGGCCAAGCATATGTATTTTTTTGCCTTGTATTCACTATGTTCTGTTCCTTTTTTGAGTTGGGGGTACACTGGATTGAACCCAAGGTTGCTTTACCACTCACCTACATCTCCAGTACTTTGTATATTTTGAGATAGGATCTTGTTAAGTTGCTGAGGGTTTCGCTAATTTGTCCAAGCTGGCTTCAGATGTACAGTTCTCCTGCCTCAGCCTCAGTTGCTGAAATTATAGGCGTGTGCCACTATGCCTGACTCAATTTGGTTCTATTTTCAAACTACTTAATACTACTTAAAAGGCAGAGGGTGGGTTTTAGAAGGTGTTTTTTGATCTCAGGTAAACTGGTGATTTATTTATTTATTTTTTATTTATTTTGCCACATCCAAGAACAAATTTACCCCAAAGCTTAAATTTTAGGGGCTGTTATCTGCAGGGGTGAGTGCCTTTCAAAGTCTTTACCTATAATGTTGTGTTATTTTTCTTAAAGAGGTGTATCAAAATGGGCTTAAGTCCCTATAAAACCTGTGTTCTTTCCTGGTAATTCCTGAATGAAGCAATTTAACTTCGATTTGTGTAATGCTGTAGCCTTTCTAAAGCATTTCCATATCTGTATTTTTTTTCAAGTAATTTTAGGAAGTAGCTAGGGAAAGCTTAGTGTAGTGGAAAGAATATAGGAGAACATCAGGCCAAACACCTACGTTGTAATCACTGCCTTATCACTTAGATCTGGTGTCTTCATCAGTAAATTATGAAGTAATAAAACCAATCTTGTCCAACTTCAGAATATTAATGAAGTTCTGGTTTTTAAAAAAGGACAAGAAAATAAATCAAAAACATTTCATAAATGTAAGATGCTTTGGAGCTCATTTGCAGAAGCTGGGGAAGTAATTTACTTGCTGTGTGACCTCAAGTTAAAACCCAGAGCCAAGATTGAAATTTGTGTTTTGATTCTTTATTTGCTAAATGTTTACCATTTATCAGGCTGTCTCTGACTTCATAGTTGTCTCGAAGAAAAGATAATGATGTTAAATTTATAGTATTTTATTATTATTCCATGGTAAATATTTGTTGAATGTATGGTAGAACCATCTAATTGCTTTGCTTTTCAACATCATCATGTGGAAAAATATTTCTACTTTTGGTTATTTCTCAACTGTAGAAATTAATAACATTAAATTTTTTGCTTTTCTTATTTTTAAATTTTAAAAGTTAAAGCTAGAGATATTATTAAAATCATTCTGTACTATGCTTTTTTTTATGCTAGAAAAATGATCACTGTTAAGAAGGAATAGGAAATGGACCATTTCACTTGGAAAATAAACAGGGACTGGCCTCTCCTCTTCTCACATATTAATCAGTCACCAGATCTTGTTAAGATTTCACCTCTAGTTTCTCCAGCCTTGTGCTTCTCTTTTCTACTGCTTTTGTTTCTGCTGTTCCATTTCTAGTGCCTAATCTGTTTTGTCCATATCACCCATATTCTTCCTCATTCAGGGTTCCCGTGATCTGGTCCCTCCCTGTTTCATTATCTCTCATTTTTAGCTCCTTCTCCTCCCCTGACCAATCCATGTTTTCTTACTTTCTGGCATACTCTCATCTACTTGTATAACCTATTATTTCACTAGTTTAAGCCCAATTCAGGACTTACGCTTTCTAGGAAACTTTGCCAGTGGCCTTAAGGACAGTTTTTTCTCTCTTTCTGTTGCTTTGCACTTTTCTTTTCTATGCCCTGACTGTTCAACTGGAGATAAGTTCTTTGATAGACAGTTGTCTCTTATGCCTAGCACTATGCCCTATGTATATTAGCCTATATTAAATCCTCATTCATTAGAATTATTTTGAAATAACAAACACGCTTACATCTATGTAGAACTGAGTTTGGCATCATATTTTTAGTTTTAAATTATATTTATTATTTATTTATTTAGTAGTATTGGGGATTGAACCCAGGGCCTCATGAATGCTAGACAGGTGCTCTATCACTGAGTTATATCCTCAGCCCAGCATCTTAAGTTTTTAAAAATTATTTTATTAGCTGGATGCAGTGGCATGCCTTGTAGTCCCATCTACTCCAGAGGCTGAGACAGGAGGCTCCCTTGAGCCCAGGATTTGGGGCTAGTCTTGGCTACATAGCAAGACCCCTTCTCTAAAACACAATAATAATTATCTTGTTTTTGTAAATAATAGCACATTATATTATAGACATAAAGAGTATAAAATCAGGGCTGGAATATAGCTCAGTTGGTAGAATGCTTGCTTCACATGTACAGGGCCCTGGGTTTGATCCCCAGCAACACATACACACACATAAAGTATAAAATTGTGTAGTTTCTAAGCTCCTGAAAACAATTACTTTTGTTTTGTTTTGTTTTTTGGTACCAGGGATTGAACCTAGAGGCACTTAACCACCGAGCCACATTTGCAGCCCTTTTTATTTTTTATTTTGAGATCCCGTCTCAAAATAAATTCCCGAGCCACTGGGTATTCTTTTTTCTGTATTACCTTCTTCATATGTATTTGTAAAGTTTGACTTAATTGCTTTCAAATGTCATATTTTCATTTTTACAAAACACTATACTATGTATGTCAATGATGTGATGTCTGCTCTCTATAAGTCTGAAATTTGATAGTTATAGATCAACCAGGGAATGGAGACAGAAAGAAAGGAGGAGGGGGGATACATTGAAAGACTGAATTTTGAAAGTGAGAATGTTTGTTTCATGCTTAGTATACCCCCAAATCTAAAAAAGAAGAAGAGTCATGTTCCTTAAATATAATGATGTAGCCACTTGGGATGGAGCACATACACCTCATCTCTAACATTCCCATTCCCTAAGATATACTCATGTGGACTCTGCATAGTGTAATTTTGATGAACTGACAGGCTTCCTCATGCTCATTTATTCAAGTGATCAGGATTAAAATGATGTTTGATCTTTCTTCCAATTAACTTTTTTGTTTTGTTTCGTAACAGGGATTGAATCTAGGGGCATTTAACCACTGAGCTACATCCCAGGCTCTTTTTATTTTTTATTTTGAAACAGGGTTTCACTAAGTTGCTAAGGGCCTTTCTAAATTGCTGAGGCTGGCCTTGAACTTGCTATCCTTCTGTCTCAGCCTTCTGAGTATCTGGGATTACAGGCATGCACCACTATTCCCAGCTTCTTCCAATTAACATTTAGACTTGCACCAAAAATGTATAAAAATAAACTTGCTGATGTGTTACTTCATTCTACCTATGATTAAGACTAGAACTCATATTCTATGTGTTACACGTGCTTATAAATCTTTTAGGAATAGAAAGTAATGGAAATATATGTGAAAGTTTTGAGTTCTATCAGCAAGAATTAGGCCATTGGAATCTTACGCCTTACTTGATAAACCTGGAAAAAGTTTCCTGAAATAGGTAGAATTTCACAAACTATTTGGATGATGGAAGAGGAATGTGAAGCAAGCATTCTAGTATGTTATTCAACTGAGAAGAAAGCTTTAGAGGTGAGATTGGCATGACCAGATGCTTGGAGCATATGTCCCTGAGTGTGTGCATGGGGCCAGCTGGAGAGGACAAGTTGGCAGTGAGAATGGTCTATGCTTCCTTGATGAATGGTTTTTGAAACAAAGGATGAGACTCTTGGACATGGACATTGAAGACTTTTGAAACAGGGTTTCATGATATGAGTAGTGACTGCAGGAAACTTGGGCATCATCTAAAGACTTGGATGGAAGTGTTGAGGGTGCACACCAAATACTTGTAGTAATATAGGTAAAATAGTAGTAGTAGAGAAGAAGAATAGATGTGAAAGTTAATATCAGCTTTATGTGTTTATTTAGTTTTCTCATCGATATCCATTTTTATTTTGTTCCAGCAGATAATTCCTTTTTGTTACACCAACGAATCTCAGCATTTTATTTTAGGAATATTCTTTCTTTAACAAGCTTTAATATGTGTTCTCATATACAATTATAACCCATATTTGAAACAAGTCTTTTGAGTAGTGTTATCCAAGATCTTTGTGTACACATTTAATATATGTTGTATTTTTCATTTCACGTTGTGTGAGATTTTTTGTCGTTGTTATTTCTATATGACTCTTGTCTGTATGTATGTGAACTGAACATGTTGGCTGTGCCAGTGATTTTTTTCTTTTTTCTATTTTGGTGCTGAGGACTGAATCCATGGCTTCATGCATGCTAAGTGTGTACCTGCCCTATACCAGTGCTCCTGATATTGAATGGAATTTCCTAGTTATAGAGCAATAAGGAAAATATAATTTTTTTGAAATACTGGAGTACACATGCTAAGCAAGTACCTTATCCCTGAACTACATCGCTAGCCCTAAAAGATCCTTTGAAACAATGTACATCAGCAAATATAAAGAGTTCTTGTTACAAATGTGCTTCTGCATATACTTAGTTCATGAAAATCTACTGATATTAATTAATGACTTAATTGATAATTAAAGTTCTAAAGTACAATAAAACAAACTTGTATACTGAGTTGAGGTCAAGTCTTTCTGTCAAAAGTCTGCTCAAGGGAGGAATGATCAGTTATTCTGAAGAGACCATGGTACAAACATGCCATCCTACAAATTCAAACCAGTTATTTGAGCTTGTTTATTTAAAGATATGGATGGTTCTGGAGTAAAACATGGACATAATTTGAAGAGCTTCCTGATTTTTCATGACTGTAATATCTTAAAATGGTACTGCTCATCCTAGTAAT